AGGAAGAAAAGGGGCAAAGGGGAGGGGGACGTGGGGGGGGTATGGGAAAGGAAAGAAGGGAATGGAATTAATATGAGAAAATGAAAAAGTGGAAACAAAGTCTTTGTAAATAGGGAGGGATGGAGGGGTTGAAAGGAGGGCAGGGGAAAGGAGAAAAATAAGAACCAAGAGAGATTATGTAAAAGATGCATATTTCCAATGATGAATGTCATTATATTGTATACCTAAAATGTACCAATAAAAGGATATACAAAAAAAAATAAATAAAGATGCCAGGGTTAGGCCAATGCTCTCTTTTACTCCTAGCTCCTCCTCATTGACCTTGGCATGCAGCTTAAATTGATAGGGATCATTTGCCTGTGATTGTAAAGTATTTGAAGAAGGAGTTCTCTGATGTTACAAAGCTTGAAAATCATTTATCTGACATATATGCTCTTTACTTCCTGTGTCATCCTAGAACCATGCTAGTAAATGGCAAGTATTAATAGGAATATATTTACGTTAAGAGAGTTGTCTGAGATTTATTACTTCAAGGTCATTAACTTTTAAGTTATAGCAATCTCATTTAACATAAAACTAAAGTGAAACATAGGGAAAATTTACGTGATGCTTAATGTTTTTAAAATGGGCGAACTATCCTAATACAACTATGTCAAAACACCGATGAAAACTTAGATGATTTGTTTTGAACGGCAATTCTTAACTTAGTTGAGAATAATTTTTAAATGATTGGATTTTATCAAAATAACTGATTCTGATATTTTTGAAAACAAGTTTATTTAAAAATACTGCTCTCCCATTCAGTCATTTGAGAAAGAAAGATCATAAGATTATCGTGATTTTACACAGAGAAGAGCACATTTTTCAAGAATATCCTGAATGTGCAATTTTATGGCATATCTGTTTAAGCACTGTGAATGATTGAGTCTTTTAAAAAAATGATCTTTAAAGGAAATATTTTTCATTAAAGTAAAAAGCATAACTAAAGAATTGACTCATAGTTCCCTGCCTATGCTGCCTTCAGATATATTTGTCAAGTTTGAGGGGACTCTGAGCCCTGCCTTAGTTAATGGTGTGACAATCTTAAGGATACAGTTTTTTCTCATTTTACTATTTCTAGGTATCAAACAGGAGTCTATTTCAGGAGTTTTTCTGTGCCTGTTCACTCAAGTCCTTGAATATTTGAAACCTGTATTTTGCATAAATTAAAAATATAAGCGATAGTTTAACTTAGTTTAACAGATACTTCAGTTTATTCACCTTTCCTCATCTATGTGTCCTCATTTATTTGACTCACAGAGTTTTCGTGGGTATTAAGTAATATCCAGGTGCCTTTTGGTATTGTATACAGGATAGTTTATAAAACATGTTCTTTTTTTTCCTTTTCTTTCCTAGAGTCTGTGCATGTTCACACCACCTGGAATAAAGGAAAGAAAACCCAGGCTCATCCCTGCAGGGCCCATAACCCAGGGCACTACTATCTCTGCTTATGTGGCCAAGTCCAGGAAAACATTGCTCGTAGAAGACATCCTTGGGGTAAAGGGTTTTGATTCTGTGACAGTTCTAGCCCAAAGTATTTAATTAAGAGAGAAAATGTATCATTTTGGCATTAAAGTTTAAGCATTTTCATAAAAATGAAAGTATTAAATTAAATTACAGATCTACAAATGAATTTGTATTTAAATTAATTTTTATACTTAGAAAATTGTATCTTGTGTACTCACTAAAGAAATGGATTTGAAGAGTTCTCATTTCAACACATGCTAGTATTATTAAACATAAAAATACATGTTTTCTACTGGGCATGGTGGCACATGCCTATAATCCAAGCACTCAAGAGGCAGGAGGATGGCCATGAATTCAAGGCCAGCCAGGTCTACATAGTGAGTTCAAGGCCAACCAGAACTACATAGTGAGCCCCAGTACATCTTGACAGTATGTACATGAATGAGTTAGTCTGTGGTGTCATACTGTGGCCTCTAGTTATTTCTCATGAGTCCCAGGACTGTCCCCTTCTGGCTGCCATTGGCTGTGTTTGATCTGGCTGCCATTGGCTGTGTTTGCCCAGAGGTCTGAGGTCAGCTAACCATTAGTTAGTTCTGGCTGCTCTGAGATGGCCTCAGCTCTCCATGTGTCTCTCACTCCACTGCAGTAAGACCAGCCAGGCATGTTCTTTTGATGGTAGGAGGACTCAGCGAAGTAAAAATGTGGGTTTTCAAGTCTGAGCTCACATCTACTTTACTGCCCTCCCATTAGCCAGAGAAGATCACCCAAGCAGGCCCAGACTCAGTGTTGGGAGGGAGTAAATAGGATTTGGCTACAGACAAACATAACAAAGTAGACCTCTTCATGCAGTTAGTCAGCTACAATATATACATGGCAGACATTTTAATAAAATGCCACTAAAGGAACATAGGCTTTGAATGTGACAACTACAAACAAGTACATAGATATAAAGAATTTGCTCTGAAAAAGCAGTAAATTGGAGTCTTGAAACTTGAATTTTAATTTTGGTTTTGCCAGTAATTATCTCTGTCACTTTGAACAAACCAGGTAGTTGCTTGAGAGAGAGAGAGAGAGAATGAGAGTGATAAGGGAAAGTAAGATTAATAGTAAGTGCTGTATATGTGTCTCATTTGAAAATGCCCTGTATGTATGTTTTCAAAAACATTTCTACATTACAAGTATAAATTCATTCTATTTTTGGCTCATAGAAAGTTCTAATTCATGCCTATTATTAGCTTTGTATAGATAATAGAAATTGCATAAGAGAATTAGTGTTTATGATATTAATTCCTTTTATTTCTCTATACATCCTTTGAATGATTTTCCTAAGCTAGGAACTTGTCAGAGAACTAATTTCTATTCTTAAGATAAATAATTGCTAATGATTAGATATTTGAATACTTAGTATGGGCTTTTGAGTTTCAATTAAATTGACTATTGTCAACATAGACCCTCATGTTATTCTCATTTTAAAAGTAGAAGAGATGTATATAGATAATTTCATCATGTAATGTTTGCATGAGGAGTGATTTGCACTATCACATACCTATGAAGCCTTAGGTTAGTTCTGGCATAGAAGGGGATGAATGCGTGTCAACTTTTATTATTACTGTTATTATTGCATTGAATTAACATACCCCATTTACTCATAAAATGTGTACCATATAAGGATAAAGAAACATTAATGCACTATTGGGGTATAGGTTCCATATTGCTAAAAATAGACATTTTAAACAAAATATATTTTAATTGTCATCATTTGGTATTCCTTTGAAAAGGACTGCTTATTCTTAATTCTGTGTCTCATTCCAATTTCTGATAAAACTAAGGGCCATAGCATTATGATTTGGGGTTATTTTTCTGAATTTATATCTTTTTCCCTTTGTGCTTTTCAGGATGAACGTTTTCCAAGAGGTACTGGACTAGAATCAGGGACTCGTATCCAGTCTGTTCTCTGCTTGCCAATTATCACTGCGATTGGTGATTTGATTGGCATCCTGGAGCTGTACCGGCACTGGGGCAAGGAAGCCTTCTGCCTCAGTCATCAGGAGGTGAGGCCTAGGACATTGCTGCCTAGGACTGGTGCCACCACTAGCTCACCTCTGGTGACTGTTAGTCTTACTTGCATGTGTGAATGAATATTTAAAACTACAATTTACCTCATAGTGTCTTGATTCTAATAATAATGTTTTTTTAAAAACTTTCATTCTGCAGCTGTTTATAGGGAAACTTGATTAAATTAAAAATGTAGTCTTTTCTCTGTAACATAATATTTTACCAATAAAAATAAATCATACTGTGAGTCAAATAAACCAGCAAGAGGACTTTGAAAAAGATTTTACCTAATGGTTGTCTTTGTGTCTCCTTAAAAAGTCCTCTTCCTATGGTGTGTTCTGAAAAAAGGTTTTAATGTCAGTCATATCAGGAAGACATTCCCTATGCACTGAATTAGAGTTGGCTCATTAATGCTAACCCCAGATCCTAAAATGCTATCTCTCTCACATCCAGTTCGAACCAAGTCACTGCAGTTGCCTCACCTTGTCCCCTGCTTGAATGAATGCATCTTTGACCCCACCTTTCCCACCCTGCCTCCACCGCACTGGGCCCCAGGGCATGGACAGTGGCTGCCTTGGCTTCAGCCTGCACTGAATGCTCTGTCTATTTGAGGGCTCCAGTGTCCCCTTTCCTCTGTCCTGCTTATTTTCCCCTGTGGCACCTGTTGCTCCTTAGTACACTACACATGATGCTTCCTTCTGTCGCTGTCTGGGTCTCTCCCAGCAGGACAGGAAGTGCTATTGCATTTTTATTGTTTACTGCTCTGCCTCCAGCACATAGAACATTGCCTGGCATCCAGCAAGTATTTGTTAAATAAATAAATAAATAAACAGAACAGATAGTAATTTGAAAACTTGTCAGCTACTATGTACACATGACTTTTACTTCTTAGAAATATATAATTTTTCAAGTTCCCAATGATGAATGTAACAGTATTGTATGCCTAAAATGTACCAATAAATTTAATGAGAAACACTCATCTAAAAAATATATATATATAATTTTAAAGTGGTCATTGGAGAACTTTTAAATAGTATTTTTGTTAAACTAAATAATATCCACTTTTATATTAAAGTCATTGGATAACATCTCTCTTAATCAATTTATCTTACATTTTATCCAATATTAAGATGCACAAGAGAACATTAAACTTAAATAATTATAAGGGGAAACAACTATAAAAGAGAAACTGTGTTAATGTATGGTACTTTCTGTTCTGCAGAATATTCAAAAGCTCAGTGACCTCAGAGAATTCTTCATCATGTAACTAATAAAATTTTGTTACATATAATATTTTTATTGTTTGTTTGTTTTAGGTTGCAACAGCAAATCTTGCCTGGGCTTCAGTAGCAATACATCAGGTGCAGGTGGGTCTGTGGGCTGGTTTTATAGGGCCTTACTTAGAAAGACAATTACTTTGAGCACTGGGGACTGGAATATGAGTTAATAAATAACCTCATGCTTTACATTTTGATATTAAACTATTTCACTGTTTCTAAAACTTTGTATTTATTCAATCTCCTATACTTCCTTACTCCTTGTCTTAAGTATCTTCCATTTACATTCTGTCTCTCCATATATATATTATATCTTATAAATCATTTATACAATAAATGATAATGTGTCCCATTATAGTTTTTGCCTTCCATTGAAAAACTAGGAGCAATCTCCTACTGGGAATTTTGTTGATATTTTTATGATTCTGTTCCCTAATTTAAATTATCCTATAGACTCAATAGTCTATGAAGCATCAAGCCTAACTTTAAGACACATAGTTACTATGAAGATATGGTGTAAATTAAGAATCACAGACTACCTAAAGTTTGCCCTGTAACTAACTAAACTTTAAAGTTCAGAAACACAGTAGCAAGGTAGCACTTTGCATTTTTGTGTGCTCTCTTTTGCTCTCTGTTCCTCCCTGCCTTTTTCTCTCCCTCCCCCTCTCCCTCCAGTTGTTTTCTTCTCCAAGTCCATTTCATGTTGAGAAACTGTATGATAGAAAAACAGAATTCTAGGATAGTATGTAGAATGAACAGCAGAATACTTCTTAGATAATCAAGTATAGGTGGAATATATGCCTACCTACAATGTTTCAAAGCAGTTGTAAAAAGCAATAGAGAGTAGTCTACTTAGATCTGAACTCTGGTTCTACAACCTAATAATTCTGGGTCCTGAATGAGGTTCTCAACTTCTTTATGCTCAGTGATAAAGTGTAAGTCTCAAATATAAAGAGTTATGTGGTAATTAAATGAGATAATAACTATACAATGTTCAGAACAATGTTTAGTACATCTAATATTCAACTATTTATAGTTATTGGTATTATTATGTTACAAGCCAAATGATTGTTATTAATAATAGTATTTCTGAAAATCTCATTTTAAATAAGTGGAAGTATCTTATAACTGATAGCCATTGTTTTATATGGCAGGTATGCAGGGGTCTTGCCAAGCAGACTGAATTGAATGACTTTCTACTAGATGTATCAAAGTAAGTGCTCATTTCAAGAGATGCCTTATAGATCAATGGTTATACATGCAGGCCCTAACAGTAATAGATTACCAGCCACTGGAGCCAGTAACTGTATTATATAAGTAATCTTGGAAGAATGATTAATCATATTTTAGATTATAAAATTATATCCTCATCCATCTTTATAAGTAAAGAATTATAGATAGATATATATATAATGATCTTAATTTTCAATTTGATATATTTTCTAACTAGACTTTCTTAAAACATATGAATACACTAAGTACCTATGTTTTTAGGAGACTATTGACAGCAATAGGAGTGGAAGTGTCCCACTAAAATTTTTTTCCAAATGTCCTATCAAACATTTTCTAGAAATGGCAATTTAACAGTGTTATTAATATTATTGTTTTAACTTTTCTGTGTCTAGTATCTCAAATACCTTTTTGAAAAAGTATTGCATTTCTTTGAAGTTTGATCTAGAACTGATCATTGCCTTGGTAGTGAAAGTAATTATAGATACCTATTTAATTCCAGGTTCATGTTGGTTTTGCTTATTTCAGAAGAGATCTTCTACATATCTGATCTATCTAATTCATTGAAATCTAAAAAATGCCCCAGGATATGGCAACTTCAGGGACATGTCCTCCTACAAGTTTACTAAAGGAATAATGCTCATATTCTTCCCAAGCCTCCAAAAAGTATAATGTGCATTGCAGCTTGCATAGTGCTGTGGTGGCACTTAATAATCTTACCCATCAAAAGTATTGGAATACTTACGAATAATTAGTCTGAGTTCATATTATATCTATTTTCTGAAATCTAAAATTAGAGAAATCTGGAACTGAAGAAGTTCTCTTTTGGTCACTTTTGCCAACCGTCTCCTTTAAAACACATTTAAACACAGTATCTCTGGGATACGTGATTAAATTACTTCAAAACCCAAGGAAAGGAAAGTTATACACCTTCTCTGACTGATGTATTTACATATTTTGCAAGTGTTCAGAAGTCAACCAAATACCTTCTGTGATATTTTATTCCCTCCTACTGTTTCCTCCAGTAGAAAATTCGTTTACTTCACAATCTTCTTTATTTAATGTATACCTTAGTGTACGGTTTGGTAAATTGTGTCCTAAGTCTCAGTGGCTTCAAGCTAAATAATTTGTCTCTTAAACAAAAGTCACCATTCATTGCTGTAAGTTATCTTAGTTGTGAGAGCATTGCTAAATTTACATGAACCTAAACTTAAAACGTTATGTAGCCAGTAGTGTTTATATTGAGTATTTTTTATGTTTTTGTTTTATATATCTCAAAAACATTTACTTGCTGTTCATAATGATGGAAATATATTTTATGTATTCATTAGATCCTTATTATTACTTGGAATTTGATTTTTCTTCTCAAATGAATTACATTGCTTCCTCTTTTTTTCTTTTTTTGTATTATTGAGGATCAAACCCAGACATTTCCACTGAGCTACATCTGAGGCCATTTTTTCTTTCTTATCTCGAGATCAGTCTTTCTAAGCTGCCAAGTTTCCCAGAAGGTGCTTGGAATTTGCGATCTTCCTGCCTCAGCTTCCCAGAGTGCTGCGATTAAAGGCCCGAGCCACCATACCCAGCTGCATTGCTTTCTCAATACAACTAAATTAACTTTCTCCAATTTTCAGTGATCCTTTACATTTTAACTATATTTGAGATTTAGCAAATTTAAACATTTTCATTTCAGATCCAAGTTATTCATGGAAATATTAAATATGGTGGACCCAGTTTTAGTCCTGCTTAGTTGTAGTTAAATACTACAACCTTTCTCTCAGCCTAGTTACTTAGCATAATTACTAAATGTGTCATTTGGAATCAGAGTCATTAGATTAAGGCAATAATAAAGTTTATTTCTTTAAGGTAATATTGTTTCCACAAAAGGAAAAGAATCAAAGGACACATATCTTCATGTTTATTTAAATATAGACAAATCTAGAAAGTGTGTTAAAAGTTTAATATGTACTGTGATCTCAATAAGAATACTTACAAGATTTATATTCCTTTTTTACAGAACGTATTTTGATAACATAGTCGCAATAGATTCCCTACTTGAACACATAATGGTAGGTCACCTTTTGTTTTTAAAGTGATTTTATTTAACCCTTTTAATCCATGATCCTAATATGTGTGTGACGTTTTGTGCATATTAGGCACAGGCTCTTTTAAGTACATATTATAAAAATGTGGTGCTTAAGAATCCATTTTGATATACTTGTCACTTCTGTTGAAATTTATAGAGGTAGTTTGGATAACCTTTTTTTTTTTTTTTCTACTGGGGATCAAACTCGGGACCTTGCGCTTGCACGGCAGGCACCAGAACTACTGAGCTAAATCCCTGGCCCTGTTTGGATAACATTTTACAAAACATCATAGTTTTTTTTCTTTATTTAATAGAGAGCTGAGCTTTGAGAAGACTTTTAGTTCTTTTTTTGTTCTTTTTACATATAGGTACCTCTTACATATAGGTAATATTAGGGATTCCCGATTGATTCTTCTAGATCTTACAGCTGATTCTACTTAGTTTTCATCTCAATCATTCCCCTCTGCAAGCAGGCACTTTGAGCTGAAAGGCAAGAACTAGAGATATAGCCATATTTCCCATGTTCCTACTTAAGTGCCCTAGTTACTTCATTAAGGAAATGGCTTCCAGTTCTCAAAGTGGTATGTATGTGTGCTCCACAGGTGGTACCTTGCATGCCCTGCTGTGTACTTTGATAAAAGCTCCTTTTCCTTCCCGTTTTTATGGTCTGTTTTCAAATTACATTAATCTTCTGCAATTAGCAGTTTCTTCATGGAGAGGTTTTCTGATGTACACTGATCTAGTTTTCTTTGACATTATAAAAAAAAACATGTCAACTATTACATGCGCAGTGTCTCAGAGACAGCAATTTATTGGGGTAATCGCACTTTAACATTAGGGGTTACTAATTTCAGAGCATTCCTTTTGTGATCAGTTATCTTAATGGTTTTACTTGAAAAAAAAGAATAACTGTATATTTAAGGAACTTTTCTCTTATGGCAAAAATGTTAAGGAACTTGTAAAGCAAGGTATAGTATTAAAAATAAAGATATAAATATACAATGTACACTGATGTATCATTTATACTAGGGGCATAAGAAGCACTTACTGGTTAGTCCTTTATTATTATTGTTTTTTTTTTAGTTCTTTTATTGATACATTTTAGGTATACAGTTTGCTTACATTTATCATTGGGTGTTTGTACCTGTACATTGTATATCTTGGTTCTTTTTTTTTTTTTCCCGATTACCTGTGCACCCTTCACCCCCTCTGCCCTTCCCTATTTACATAGATTTCATTTCCTTTTTTTTTTTCTTTTCTCATAGTTTTTCCTTTCCCTCTTTTCCTTTCCCCTTCCCTTCCCTTCACTCCTTTGTCTTTGGACCTTTTTTCCTATTTCAAATTATCAATTATTCATTTTAATCATTTTAACCCTTGTTTACACTATCAGTTTCTCACACTAGTGAAACTATTCGGTATTTACACGTGTGTCCTATTTATTTCACTGAAGAGTATGGCCTCGAAATGCACCCATTTAGCTATAAATGACTCTAGTTTTTCATTCTTTATGGCTGAGTAGTACTCCATTTTATAAGAGATGCAGATGAAAACAACACTAAGATTCCACTTCACCCCAGAAAGAATGGCTGCTATCAAGAAATCAACCAATAACAAATGCTGGCGGGGTTGTGGGGAGAAAGGAACCCTTCTCCATTGCTGGTGGGAGTGCAGACTGGTGCAACCACTGTGGAAGTCAGTATGGAGATACCTCAAAGAACTAGGACTAGAGGTCCCATTTGCCCCAGCTATTCCCCTGCTGGGTATCTTCCCCAAAGAATTAAAAGAATCATACCACAGTGATATATGCTCACCCATGTTCATAGCGGCACAGTTTGTAATAGCTAAAGCTTGGAAGCAGCCAAACCACCCATCAACTGGAAACTGGATAAAGAAAATGTGGTTTTTTTATTACTATTGTTTCAAAAATAGCTTTTTTAAACTATAATTTATATATCATATGATCTACTATTCAATGTATTCAATATATTATATTATGTTGAACCATTTTTACATATCTGGCATGGAACCTATTTATTTGTAATATATTCTTAACTCTTGGATTAGTTGTAGTATTTATTTTCAAGTTTTGCATCTGTTTTAACTAAGATTGCTCAGTAGTTTTCTTTTGTTCTTCCATAGGTGGTATTGATACGGAATTATGTTATACTTATAAAATGAATTGAGAAATATTCCATTCTTCTCTATGGGCTGAAATGGTTTAAATAATATATGAATTACTTATTATTTTAAAGTTTGATATAAATTAGCTGTAAATCTGTTTGGATCTTATTAGAGTACAGAACTCTGTTACTCCTTCCAGTTTTATTTAGGGTGTTTGTCTCTTCAGTTTTTCATTCACCCATTTCTGCTGCAATGTTTCTTGGCTTCTCTGATCAGTTCCTTCACTAGGTAATAAATAGCTGGAGTCGTGAAATAGTGAGCAAGAATCTTGACAGTCTCTGTTCTTGTACTTTCTATTTTTTTGGTAACGGGGATCTAACTTGGGACCTTGTGCTTGCCAGGCAGGGGGCGGAACCCCTGAGCTAAATCCCCAGCCTGACAGTCTCTGTTCTTGCTGAGCTTATAGGGAGACTGATGTGAATCAAGTTTCAGGTGAATTTAAAATTGCTGTCATACTTAGGGCTCAGGTGTGAAGGAGCAGAATGGTGTGCTGAGAAAGCTCATGATAAGGAGGTCTGACTTCCTAGAGAAGCTGCGGCAGGCTTTTCTGATGCTGTCAGCAACATCTTAGGATGTGTGGAGATGACAAAGGAAGGTGGACCCAGTTTGTTGCTGTGTAGAAAGGCCTCACCAGAAAGGCTATGGCATCAGCCTCAGTGAGACTGTTCACTCTAAGGCTGGAAGCTAGGGCGTATGCGATCAGACTTGTGTTTTGAAAAAAAATCTGGGTTAGACTAGGAGTCAAAGGGGAATGAGGTTAGAATTTTTGAGTGGGCTTTTCATAATGTAGATAAGATTTCTTTTTTCTAGAAGAGCAAATCTGGGTTATCTCTAAATTCCTAGGCAATCATTTCCTCTACCTCAGTGTTTCTCAGTGGGGTGATACTCAATTTTGGAGAAACAGTTTGTCCTAAACAAGATGGTCCTGTGCATGGTAGTGATGGCATCCTTCGTGCCAGAGGACTGAATGCCATGAGCACCTTCCCTTTACCCGCATCACCAGACTGTGGCCATTCACTTGTCTTCAGATGCTCTGTGGCCAGGTGGTTCTACTGCTAATTGGGAATTAGCAAATTAGACTTTCAGGTTAATTTTTATATATTTGTAGGTACTTTAGTATTCTTTTCCTTATCTAAAAATGTCAAGTAGTTAAATCAGCTTGAGAAAATAAAAGGTGTAATTTGTAGGTTTACTTCAGTGAAAAGCCCTTAAATACTCAGACTTTTAGATTGCTGGACATGAGGACTCAGCTATATATACAGCAGTTTCCTCTCTGCAGTGTCCCTTCTGAGGCCGACTCTGCTTGTGCAGTGACAGGGATGCCCTATCAGCCTTATGCTTATGTTTACAATGAAGTTCTCCAGCAAGAAACTAACCATCAGGGTCTATTCTTTGCTATTCTATATTCTTTGTCTATTATTTGCTACCCTTTCATATTTTTGAGTATATGAAAGTTCATAACAGAAGCATCTATTTTAAAAATTATCCTTTTTACATTTTATCTATAATTTCTTAGGTATTACTTAGTAACAAGTTTTATAGTTTCAGTATAATGTTGGTGATGCTTTTGTTCATAGGTCTTTCTTGGATCCCAAGTCTCCCTTGCTTCCTCAAATTAATCTTTGTATGTGTTTCTACTTGAGCACATCTCCCTTTCCATCATAGTCCAAAGTAATTTTCTGAGTATTGTGCACTTCTGAAATATCCTATTTTGCCTTATGTATTCATGCAAGTTTGATGTGGTAAAGAACACTACCAAAATACATCTAGGTATTTTTTGAAGTCCTTTTTCAGCATCTGAGGTTAATTTTAAACTGAAAATTTATCACCTAAAGAGTGTAAAAAGTACATTCATCTTAAAACCAAAGACCTTCTTACTGCCTGTAATTTTTTTGTCTATATGTTTTATAAATTTAATAACATTATCATCAAATAGTAAAGCTTTTTTTTCTTTTGGGTACTGGGGATCGAACTCGGGTCCTTGCACTTGCGCAGCAGGCAGCAAAACCACTAACCTAAGTCCCCGGGCCAAATAATAAAACTTTTGTATGTTCAGATATGTATACTTCACATGGCTTTTTCTTGCCTAACTGCATATTAATAATTATCATATCTATATCTTATTCATTAAGGTTATTTTCTTAGCTTTAATGGAATGGTTCTGATATTTTACTCATATTTTATTTAGTATTATATAGATAATTATTTTGAAAAAATATTAAGCTTTTTTCTTTTCTTTTTTTTTTTGGTACCAGGGATCGAACTCGGGTCCTTGCGCTTGCTCAGCAGGCGGCGAAACCACTGAGCTAAAGCCCTGACAAAAATATTGAGCTTTATACATATATTCATTTTTTCCACAATGCTGGTGATTGAAACCAGGGTCTCGTGCATAATAGCTATATCCCCAGATCTTCTTTTCCATTTTATTAAAGACTTCGTCATGACTGAATGCTGAATTGAATCATATGCCTTTGACAACCAGAGATCATTTCAGAAATCTGTCTTGTTGCTAGAATGAATTATAATAGACTTTATGATACTGGACAGTTCTGAGCAAAATATATTTTTAAGTATTTTAATGTTTCTTCACATGATAAATTTGATGTTACCATTTTCATTTACAATTTTACTTGTTTCCAAGAAAAATGGTCTATGACTTTCTTTTTTATAGCTTGTCAGTTTTCAGTATTACTGACAGGATCATAAAAGTACTGGAAAAGTTTTGTTCATTTCTAAATTCAGAATTGTTTGAATTTTTGGAAATTTAAGATTTTTAGGTCTTCATCTTCTTTTTTTTTTTCTTTTGTACCAGGGATAGAACTCAGGACCTTGCGCTTGCGAGGCAGGCTCCAGAACCACTGAACTAAATCCCAGGCCCGAATTTAAAATTTTTAAAGAATTCATATTTGAAACTATGGTCCTGGTGTCTTTTATGTGGATATTTTTTCAATAATTTTTGAATTAATTTTATGATTATAGTTCAGTTTATATTTTCAGCCTCTTCTAAACTTGACATTTTTTCTTCAGAATTTTTCATCTCATGCAGATTTTCAAAATTATTAGTGCATGTGTGCCAAAATACTTACTAAGCAATAACCAGATCCTAGGCAATAGGCATATAAATTTCACTGACCATAATTTAATCTTTAATAGTACAGATTAATTGTTGTTACTGAATAATTCAAGGTCTTATGAGTTTGTAAAATATATAGGTGATGCTACTGTGTTTGTCAACAATCCATTCTCTTTCCTCTCCCCATTTTTGCACCAGTTTTTCTTCCTCAAATATTAATTGAGTTTTAGGTTGTACAGATGCCATGTGTGGGAGGCCAGGAGTTGGCACACACTTATTTTTTAAATAAAGGGCATGTAGAAAAGGTGTATATTTTATGAGTTGCCTCCCTTTCAGATATAGCAGCCATAAACAAGACAAGAACGAAAAGTGTCTGGGTCCCCATAGAACTTTGTTTACAAACACTAGCTTGCCTCCTGGACTGTAGTTAGTGTCCCATAGTCTGAGCTTTGTTCCAGGAATCTGAAATACTGTGGAGAAAAGAAGCAGTTGCTGCTGTCACAGTGCTGACTGGCCAATGGAGGCAAGAAGGAAACTGAAGTTCCGATGCTTGTGGGTTTTGTACCATCTGTCTCTCCATTATAGGCACAGCCAGCGTTTGTAGAATGAATAAGTTCATACAAATCGATAACAGCAATTAACACAGCCATGTATTCTGGGGATGGGAAGGGTATATAAAGTACTCTTGATTTATTTCTATTAAGTCTATATTTAGTTTTACATGAGATTTTATATTTTCTCCTTACCACAAGGAGGCTTAGTTTTCTCTTACAGAGATTTTGTGATGGCTTTCTTACTTTGAGATTTAAGTCTATTCCCCTAAGGAATAATTCTATGGTTAATGATCTGGAGGGTTGAAGTTGCCAAAATTCTCAATATATGTAAATACAAATGTTACATATGTAATACATATTACATATATGTAAATTTATTGTGTAACTATGGCCCTAGCCCACTAGTGACAATAAGATATATTGGGCATTAAAGAAATGTTTATTGAAGGAAATTGATGAACAAATGAATGATGAAACTAACACATTTTCCATTTAGAAATGGAAACACATATTTGTCATTGAAAGGATGGGTAGTGGAAACTGAATATGAGTTCAAATACTAGATTCACTGTTGTAAGAGGGAGATCAAATTAGATTACTTCTCAGTACATCAATGTTTCTAATATGTAAAGTGGGGATAAAAATTTTCCCTATCTCAATATTGTTATTGTGAGAATTGAGTAAATTAATGTACAGAGGTACATTAAATGTACCTGGTACAAGTTATATATTTAATAATTTTTACAAGTTACTAGACACCATAGCAAATGCAGTTCAGCTAGTGTAAATATCAAACTCTATGTCTCCTTAGAGATTATTATTTCATAGTTTTTACAAATGTTATTCACAGACATTGACCAGTTGAATGAATGCTGTCTTTGGCATTTACTGAGGCTCAGACCAAGGCACTAAGAGAATCCTGAGAGGTTCTGGAAGAGAGTTTCAGATGGTTTAGGGCTCAGAGGAAATTAGTCCAGTAGCTGTTTATCAACCATTGTGAAAGTGTTTTAGTGTTTCAGCATCCAGCTGAAGTTGTGGTACATATGAGCTGTTTATTTGTCCTTGTTGCTCTCTGTTAATATTAGCATATAACAGTAACTTACACATATATACATACATATGCAAAATTTTATACCTATATATTTATTTATTTAAAATGCTAATTTCATTCCTAATCAAGGTATGGAATAGCTGAAATTAATATTTACTTTATGATAAATTTCACTTGTAAGTTCTTTAAATTCTTCATTGGCTTACTCTTGTTTTGTCATTTATCTTTAGATATATGCAAAAAACCTGGTGAATGCCGATCGTTGTGCACTTTTCCAGGTAGACCATAAGAACAAGGAGTTGTATTCAGACCTTTTCGATATTGGAGAGGAAAAAGAAGGAAAACCCGTCTTCAAGAAGACCAAAGAGATAAGGTACAGCTAGAGTGGAACGTCCTAGGCTCTGGTCACAGATGTGCAGGTGTTCTGTTACCCACTTTTCTGTGCCTATTCACAGGTATGCTGACAATACTTGTCATACTGTGATATCATTCCCACCAGGACCCGCCTCCTGAAGGTAGTACTTCTGGGAATGACATTGCAGTGCCAGCGAAACCACACCTAGGAAGCGTTAGCGTCACTCCTGGAAATGCCGTCTTCCGGAGGCGGTCCTTTTGGAAATCATGTTGGAAAAACTTACTAGTGCTCCCAGGTAGGTAAAGATATACTCCACCTGGAGTCTGCAGGCTTCTCCATGTTTAGGAGCAAGGACTAGCATAACCACTTTGGCCCACACCTCTTCCCAGCCCATGGGGCTGTTCACCAAGGCCCAGACAGTAGAGAACACTGATCTGGTGTGTTTGATGATGTAAACACATTTATTAACTGGCCATTTGGTTTTATCAGTGTACACTTTTGTTGCATTTTGAAACTAAAGCCTTCTTTGTCCTGTGAGTGGGAGCACTTGTCACTTAAATGAATAAACTGGAGTTCATTTGTTGGTGGAGGTGTGGTGGCCTGGAAACCTGCAGGGAGCACTGTCGCACACTTCTCAGAATCAAGCATAACATTCTGGGGCTCAAAGCTCCTTTACACACTGGCGGAAGTTCCTGTTCACACTGGTGTTCCTTTTCTTCATGTGTCTCCTGTGACTATTCTACATAATACTATAAAGTTCTCAAGTGAAACACTCTTCCTTATTGAGGATTGCTGTTTATTTGGGCAATCTGTCATATAAGGAAATTATCCTTAAAGAGCAAATTGTCGCCCACTCAAGGTGTTCCCGCTTCTGCTGAGTATCTCTGCTTCTCTCTCTCTAGGATGATAGAGCCTATCATCCATAGTTACCTAAGACTGATTTACAAGCTTTATGTAGCTGTTTTAAAATTTGTTTCATTGGGCCGGGGATTTAGCAAAGTGGTTCCAGAGCCTGCCTCGCAAGCTTAAGGTCCGGAGTTTGATCCCCGGCATCAAAAAAAAAATTTGTGTCATTTTTTTGTGTGTGTTTTAGAGCTCAGTATTGTCAGTCTGGATGCATTCACTTAAAGTCCTTTCTCTTGCTTAAGTTTTGAGCGTTACCTGGCACCTCTGGTATTGATCTCATTATGAAAATAATAAAGCCTATATTTACAAGTATAGGAAAAATAGAGGAATGTGCTTACAATAACCTTAAGATGACTGGTTGATGCTAGACACTTACATAGGGAAGCCTTCTTCATTATGTGCTTCCTCTCACCACAGAGGGGAAACCACAGAGAATATGGGGAGGGAACAGTGCAGACAGCTCTCAGACCAGTACCAGCAGCACACATCACCAAATGGATCTTGATTCTTGGTTCGTGCCAGTCTAATGTGTTGTGTTCATGCTGTTCAAAGCACAAGAAAACCAAGAAGACAAACTTAATGCTTGGTTCACCTTTTGATGTTTTAATTCTACTTTATGTCAATTCTGTTTTGAGTTTTCTTGATAGTCCTTAGGGTGAAGCTTTATTTCATTAATGATTTTTTCCTATAATGTCAAAAATGTATTATGAAAATTACTTTTGAACTATTGAAAATATAGATATTGGGAATTTTAGATATCTTTCTTAATTAAATTTTGAAATGAGTGCATATGTGATGATAATTGATAAGATAATGAGTGAAATATGTATAAATGTAAGAATATATCTATAAAAAGAAAATATTGATATTAGGTATCAAAAATATAATTATATTCAGTTAATGCTTGTTATCTTGATTGTTTTAAAATTTAACAAGTTAGAGAAGCAAAATACTTCTGTAATACTTATACATAGCACTTGGGTTGGAAACAAGATAAAATTCAAGCCCCATACATCTCAAGGTTCAGACACAATCTATGAGTTTGGTTATATGTGTAGAGGAAATCACACTGGTATAGACACGCATTGTAGTTTTTATTGATCCAATACTATTTTGACAATATTGGCAAGTTAGTGAATTCCTATAGGCCTCAGTTCACATCTCATTGGAAAACCACTAAGAAAATATATCTTTTTTGGGGGGGCGTGTGCTGGGGATTAAACTCAGTACCTTGTGCTTCCGAGGCAAGCATTGGCACCATTGAGCTAAATCCCCAGCCCCAAGAACATATATCTTGAAGCAAATTGTAAACTACAAGGTACTTTGCAAATACAAGGGAGTGTTATCAGTCAGTGATAGAGATCACTAATTTTTCATTCTTAATTTGTGATCCAATTATATTCCAGTGTATTATGAATTATGTCTTAAAACAAGGTTCTCTAATTATCACTGTCTGCTTTTTCTGCTTTATTTTAATATATTTTATAAGACGATTTTGGATATATGAATGTAAAATTAATAAGTACATTTAAACCATGACTTTTTATTCAATATTTGATAGTAATGAAATGTTTCAGAATTATGTTACAGCATCAATATTTCAATTGGCATGTCTCTGTCTTTTATATATGCAGATTTTCCATTGAGAAAGGAATCGCTGGTCAAGTGGCAAGAACAGGGGAAGTCCTGAACATCCCAGATGCCTATGCGGATCCACGCTTTAACAGGTGAGGGGGTGCGTGTCTTCTCCAGTGTCTCTGGGCTTGTCCCACTCAGGTGAGCCTCCTCTGTCAGCCCCAATTCCTCAACTCTCAACTCAGTTATTTCCTCCTCATTTTTTTTTCTGTGAACCACCTGTATTATCAGCAGTCAGTATATTTAGATATATAAAATGAGGTATTCTAAGCTATGAATACATAATGATGTCCAGCTATAGGGGTTTACAATGTTATAAAAATAGCTAATAGGAGTTTTGACTGGTAGCCCTAGGGTGCTTTTTCTCCACTCTGGTGTAGCCATTTTGTTGCACTGTATTCTCTATTAAATCACATGCTAGAAGGCTGCCACACAGTAGTGATAAAGCTATGTACTTTTCAGATTGACCAGTTTGATTTTGAATTATGATTCTGACGTTTGTTAGTACAGAGTGGACTGGGTGAGCTACATAGTCTGAGACTAGGTTTCTACATATTTATACTGGGTAGGATAATAGCTACCTTATAGTATTTTTAAGATTACATTTAATATTCATAAAAGATCTGGAAATGACATAAATTAGGAACTCAATAAACCACAGCTTTAATTGGGTATTATTAAAGTTGAAAATTAAGATGGCTTGTAAAAATTTTTTGTTTCCTTTTGACTTTCTTTGGAGAACTAGAAGCTAGTTTTAATAAATCTCAAGAAATTGAAATTCTCAGAATGGATGCTATGATTGTTGTTGGGTAGTATTTCAGATACTTTGACAAGCATTTGGTTTACTTTAAGAGATAAAGAATAGAAGAAACTGGAAGTTTTTTCATAAAATGAACTGATTGATATCATATATAACAAATTCACATATATGCATATATAGCTATATCATAGCAATATATTTCATCTATAAATTGAAAGTATACTAAAAATCTTATTTTTTCATAAAACTTGTCATTTCACTGCTTCAGTATTGAAAATTTTCACATATCCTTATATAAAATCTTTGTATAAAAGTTTATGAGTCAGACCATTAAGAAAATGAAAAGACAACCAACAACCTGGAAGAAAATATCTATAAAACATACCTAACAAAATATCTGTATCTAGAATATATTAAAAATACCTTTCTAACATAATAATAAGATATCCCAATTTAATAAAAAGACCAGAAGATTTTAACAGACACTTCACCAAAGAAGATGTATGTATGATTATTAACACATTCCCAACAGGGCCACAATTTCCTGTCTCACTACCAGTCAGCTTGAACCATTGGTAGTTCATGCAAGACTGCCCTGCATGACTATACCACTTGTACCACCAGTGGTACAAGCCACCTGATGGGAAAAGAGTTGTGCCTTTTCTGTAAAACTTAAACATACACTTATTGAACAGTCCATTAGTTTTCTCTGTTTCTAGGTGGTATTGCAGAAACTAATGACATCAAAACATATGCCCATACAAGACTTGTGGGCAGATCTTCAAAGGGCATAATTCATAATTGCCAGCAACTGGCTATTCATAGATAATACTTTCCAGTAACTGGTGAATAGATGAACAGCATTAACAAGGACCAAAGGACTAACAGATGCTATAGCCTGGATGGGTCTCAAGCACAGCACAGGAAATGAGAGAGATAGACACTGAGCTCTGTCCATGACTGCCATACAGTTGGTTATGTAGCTGTTTCTGTGGACCTCAGTCATGTTTACAAAAGTATTTCCTCAGTTTGGAGTCAGCAAAACATTTCTTTTAAGGACAAGGTATAACTATTTTGGGCTCTACAGGTCTTTTTCACAAGTCACCATGGACAATTCCTAAATGAATGGTGTGGCTGTGTTTATAGGACAGAAGTGGGTTGATTTGGCTAGTGGAATGTAGTTTGCTACCCGTGCTCTAATTTTTTAGTGTGATAACACCCATTTGAGTTGGTTTCACAAATTATGTCTCTCATAAATATCGCCAAGTTCAAAGGAAGTTATCATTTTAGAAAATTTATATTTTTTCTTTGAATTCACCTTGTCTGCTTACTGATGCTGGATACTGAAAACACAACTATAAATCAGAAGCCATGTATAAAGACTGCTCTAGAAAACTTTTGATAACCAAATAACAAATGAGTTAGAATATTTTTAAAGGATTCTAATGAGATACTTTTAATGTTAGTTTATACTTGAATTTAGAACCTAACAATGCCGTTGTAGGTATTTATAGTACAAGCACATACATTGAGATTTATGATAGAATGTGTCATTTATTTTCTCCTGCTTTTTCCTCCTGCTGATTGCCTTGTTTCTTCATGTTCCCCCAGAGAAGTGGATTTGTACACGGGCTACACCACCCGGAATATCCTGTGCATGCCCATTGTGAGCCGAGGTAGTGTGATTGGGGTAGTGCAGATGGTGAACAAAATCAGTGGCAGTGCCTTCTCCAAGACGGATGAGAACAATTTCAAGATGTTCGCTGTCTTCTGTGCCCTGGCCTTACACTGTGCTAACGTAAGTACCAGCTGGTAAATACCATTTTACTGCTTGGTATTAATTCATAACCTTTTTTACAAACTAGGAACAGTGATTGCTGGTGATACATGTGCTAAGAAATGGCTTAACGTGCCTTGAAAGAAAAAAAATCTTCTGATATTTTGAATTTGTTTTTTATACCTTTTATCTTGAAATAATATTACACCGAAAACAATGCTACAAAAATAGTATAAAGAATTCCCTAAGACTTTCATCCATGTTCCCTAAATGTTAATATATTTACCACTTTTACTTTGGTGTACTTTCTTTCTTACCAATTACCTTTCTCTAGTCTACCTGTTCTATAAAATAATATATAATGTTTCAGCTTATAGTTTCTAAAATCAGAGACATTATTTTTCTGTTGCATACTGAAAACATCAAGAAATATGTATTTGTGCTATATTAGTATACTTGGGCTTTTATAATAAATACCAGACTGCATGGCTTTGAATAACTGATAATCTCTGTTTCCCAGATTTCAAGGCTAGAGTTTCAAGGTTAAGGTGTGGTCAGGGTTGGTTTCTCCTGAGGCCTGTCTCCTGGGATTGTGCAGGGCCTCCTCCTCCATGTGGCCTCACCTGGTTTTTCCTGTGCATGTATGCATATCTGTGTCCTAAAGTCCTCTCTCATGAGACACAGGTTACATTGCAGCTTATTTTACCATACTTATCTCTTTAATGGCCCTATCTCTAAATTTGTCCACATTTTAGGTACTGGGAATTGGGCTTCTTCAGCATGTTGATTTGCGGGGGGCATACTCAGACTGCCAAAGCACTGTACTGTTTGTTGATCAGCAGACCTTTTGACACACTTCTGCTTTAGAACCATTCTTTAATTTTTCTGTTTTCTGTGACCTGGGTGTTTTTGAAGCATAGAGGTCTAATAACTTGTAGAATGTTTCTTAAGTTGAATTTGTCTGCTGTTTCCTCATGATTATAGGAGGTTATAATTCTGACACAAATGTCTTTGTGCATCCTGTTGGCAGGCCCATGTCTATCAACAGGGACATTCACTTTCCTTATTTGGTGAAGATAGTATCTGAAGGTTTCTCCCCTGAAACTTTTTCATTTTTTTCCCACTAGCTCTTTTTTGAAGAGAATTTGCACACAAACCTCTTATCATCCCACACCCTACATATTGACAGCTCTAGTCTAACACTACAGAAGTACTTCTAGTCATCTCTCATATCAATCTTTGGAACTTTGTTTTGTAACAGAAATTTGACTCCTACATTTGGCCATCAATTTTATCCTAACTTACTTCTTTTATTTTTAAGGAAGCTGGAAGAATTGTTTGTATTTTCAGATAAAAAGGAGTAGAGAAAAAGGTTTATTATATACAATTTCTCTGAACTCAACCTGAGATAAGATACCGAAAAGTACTGTTAGTTTTATCATCAAAATTATTTTTAATGATCTGTCAGTTGAAACTTTATCTAGGTCCACCTTCAATAGTTTATGAAATCTTCTGACACCATTATTAGATGTCATTAACACGGGTATTTTATATTACACTTTGTTTCAAGGGATATTTATATTAACATTTTGGAACCAAGGCTATCTTTGAAATAAGATGTGGGGAAAAAAGCATTTTTAGGTAAGAGAGATGAATTTGGAAGTTGAGTATCTTAAAAATCTATCCAGTTGTCCGTATGTCCCTCGAAACTTTGATTCCAAAAAATATGTGTTAGTGTAAACACAGCTGTTATTTGAGGAACTAGATCAAGGGGGTCAAAAACTTCTCTAACCTAATTGTATCATAAAACCTAGATTCAATCATGACTAAAACCAAACCAGAAAAATAATGCATTTGAAAAATCATAAACGGGCATTCTGATTTCATATTGATTCTTTAGGTAAACTATTTAAGGTAAAGTCTTAGTAAAATGACAGGAATTGGTTTATACTGGAAGTGATGGTCAGTTTCCCAAGCAATGCTTTACATCACCACAAAGTGCTGCTCTCCAGCAGTAGCATGTCCTGTGTCTTGGCAGTCCTGTCAGGTTGTCACTGTCACTGAGCTCAAGGACATGCTTTTAAGGTGCATGTTGGAAGTATATGCAGTGCAGCTTCAAGCTCTCTGTGGAATACATTATCAATCTGTTACTGGAATATTTTTGCTCTTTATTGAAGCTCATAAAAATTGTTGGTGGATGCCTGTAATTCTAGCCCTCTGGTGCATGCCTATAATCCCAGCACTCTGAGAGACTAAGGCAGGACAATTATGTTTGAGCAAAGCCTTGGCAACTTAACAACTTAGCAAGACCCTGCCTCAAAATAAAAAAATAATAAAGAGATCTAGGGATGTAGCTCAATGTGAAGTCCTGGTTTCATTTCTCAGTACCACCAACAAAACCCCAAAAACAAATTGTATTATTTCTGAAGGTATTTTTCAACTCAGAAAAGAGTATGAAACTTCTGAATCTGCAAGCTCAGGTGACTAACCTTCTCTGCTTCAAGTCCCTGGCTTTCCACTTTGATGAGAACTGGGTTTCGGGTAATTGTAAAATTTTGTTCCAATTCAGAACAAGGAACAATTTATCTTCTTTAAAATGATGCCCTCTATTTTTGCTTTGTTGAAGCAATCACCCTTCTAAATCATAAATAAAAGAAAACATCCCTGAAGTTATGTTAATATCAATAGGTAGCAGCTGATTCTCTTACAGTGGCTTCTCAGAGCCTTAATTTTTTGAAGACTTTAGTGTCATAACCACTATAGAAAGGGTCAAGATCTGAATTCATATCATCATTCTGGCACTTGTTTTTTTAAGCAAGTCTGCTGTAATACCTTGAGCACTTTTCTAACTAGGAAAAGCCTCTTCTGGGATGCTTTGTCCCTAAGAGATGAAGAACCCACAGGCTTCCTTCCTTCCATGAAGTTTGTTTCTTCCCTGAGAACACACATAAATAAATATTTATGATGGTCATTTTATTTAGGATTTTTTTTGCCTTATTGTACAAACTATAACCTCAGAGAAAATATATAGAAATGATTAAAAGGCTTTGTGCACTCACTGTGAAGTGCTCTTTAGTTTTTGGCTATGATTAAGTTAGAGTGAGGGTGTTGATTCTAGGAAACTCAAAATAATTCTGCTTTTGAGCAGCTTATGTCCTTAATAAGAGCATGGAAACCCACATTCAAATTGCTTCTAATACTGAACATGATAATACAATGGCTTCTTTTATTATTGTTAGGCTCAGTGGTCTGGTTCATGAGGCCTAAGAGGCAGGACACATGGCAGGACATAAATATTCATTATCTCTTTAGTTTACTTTATTTCATCTGTAGATGCATTGAACTACTGTGTGTTTATTGAATTAAAGGGCCGTGTGCCTGATTGGCAACATCACCATTCAATTTATGGAATTAGCTAATAGTTGGAAGTACTATCAATGGAAAAGAGTCATTTGACTGAGGCTTTTAAAACTAAGAGAGCCAATTTCCTTAAATACTTTATGATTTTAAAGAAACATTTGACATGATGCAAGAAGCTAACAGGACTGTAATACTTGTCTTTGTCCTGAAGAAAGGAACTCTTCAGAACAGATTTGCTGTGTACATTTCACACGAGACTATATTTAATATGGAAAATTCACTATTCAAATGAAACCAGTTGGCTAGAGAGAAACTTAGTAAGTTGTTCAACCTTTATTCTTGAATTCAAAAAACACATATGTTTTCTATATCAGATTGTAGATGTAAAGATCACTATAATAAGATTTGATGTAATGCTTTACTGTGTGATAAGCCTTGTTCTGGATATTTACATATAAAAGTTTAGTCTCACAACAAATCTGTGAGTGAAATTATTATCTCCAGTTTACAAAAGAAAAATCAGGCACACAAAGTTTAAACAATTTGCCCAAGGTTACATAGAAAGTATGTGATAGAGCCAAGGTTAAGTATGAACTCCCCAGAGCTCCCCAGCCTTTCATTTGACATTGTTCTTTCCTAAGGCTGCTTATAAGAAGACAAATATTAAGATGTGTTTTGAAGCTCTGTGTGCAGACTAGGGTGTAATTAGGGTTCTCCATAGATCCAGAACCAATAGGTTGTATAAAGTGATGGATGCAGAAGAATAGATAACTAGGGGAATTAATTCGCATGATTATGGCAGCTGAAGAATCAACCAGTTGGCTATCAGTTGGAGAACATGCGAAGCCAGTAGTGTGATTCAGGCCAGTCCAAAGGCCTCCCAACAAGGGAAGTTGATGGTATAACTCTCAGTATGAGGCCAGCAACTTGAGAACTAGAGAAGCTGTTGCTGTAAGTAATGGAGTCCAAAGGTCATCAAACCTACAGTTTTGATACTACCTGCAGAAGGGTATCCTAGCTTCAGAAGAGAGAATGATTTCACCTTCTCTCAGCCTTTTTGTCTGTTTGGCCCTCAAACAGTGGCTTGATGACTGTCGTCACTGATTAAGAGTGGGTCTCCTCTGACCAGTTTCCAGTGCTAGTTTCCTCCAGACACACCCTTACAAACATACTTAGAAATGACACTGTACTAGCTGTGTGATATCCCTTAAGTCAAATTGACACTACTAATCATCATAGAAATAGGGGTGGTGTCCAGGAAAAATCTTCATATGCATACAAAGTACCATGAAGACAGAGCAAACACAAAGTTATTAAAAGACTTTGGAACAGAGGAAGTTTACCGCTCAAATATATGTTGAAGAATAATGTAAATAAAATGTATAATTGTGAATAATGAGCTGACTATTGAGAAGGGTACTCAAGAACAATGTTGAAAATCCCTAAGAAAAGTTTTCAGGGAAATATCTGAAGTCTATCTTATTTGGTAATGAATTGAGTGACAAAGCTATGTTCTCAAATTCAGCTGTCTCTTTGTTAGTAGTAACATAACACACATACACACATACACACACACCCCGTATTGTTTTTAATTTGAATGCCTAGATTTTAGTGCATAACAGTTCTTAGATTACATCTTTTGGATAGCATGAAAGGAAAAG